GGCGAGTCGATCTCACTCCCCGGCGCGGCCCAACCATTCCCGGGGCTTCACGTCAAACAATCCCTTCCTCTCCTGCCCCCTGAGCCAGGCCAGCGGGCCTGGGGACCGGCTACAGAGGAGAGGGGAGCAGGAAAAGATCAAGACCCATTCACTCTGGAGGATGGCCCAGACGCGCTCCCTGGAGTGCGGGGGACGCACTGGTGCCGGCTGACCCCGCCGTTTTGGAGGCTGGGACGAGTATTCGTTGCTCCGGGCCCTCGACAGGCGCAAAACGGCGAATTTCCAAGCCCCAGGCGCAAAGCAGCGTCGACTCCGATGGTGACCGCAAGATCCCGCCCTGGGTCTGACCCTGGCCCAGCGGTGGCCATTGCGTCGTAGACAAACGAAATCAAGCCCAGTGTGCACCGCAGAGCAAACGGAATCTGGGCCGGCCTCGACCCCCCGGAGCGCGGGTCCCTGCCCCGCTCGGAGCCTCCGGTCAGGTCCTCGGGCCATTTGGAAAGCAGGGACGAGAGGGCCCTTGTCTGGACTTTCCAAAGAGCCTTCGCCGAGGCCCGCGCGCTCTCGGGAGCGCTGGCACTAGCAGCGGGACCAGAAGAAAGCGGGGGACCTGGGCCTGGGTGCGTCCGGCCTCTCCTCTCGGTGCCGCCCAACGAAAGGCCCACTGCGCCGTAGCCAGGTAGGGCCCGGGCCAGGTGGGCGGCCGGCGCGGGCTGCCCTGGAGCGGCCGTGGGGCCAGGACCCCTTCCTGTGAAGTTTGTAAATTCAATTTGTCTAATGGTTTCGGTTTGCACCCGTGCCCTTACTCGCCCCTCCGCCAGATTTCTCCCTCTCATCCGACGGGTGGTTTACAAATGGGTTTCCTGAGAATGGGGCTCCTGTGGGCCTCGGCACCTGGCACAGGACCCGGATCAGCACCAGCCCCCGGGAGGGCGCTCGCTGAAGGTGCGCGCGGGAATCCGAGGACCCCAGTTGTTGGCGCTCGGGTCCCCAGCCGGAGGTCGCCTGAGCCGGCGGAGCGGGAGCAGTTCCGGGAGCCACCGCTAGTTGGCGCCTGCACTCTGCCAGCCGCGGCGTTGCCCCGCAGGCCTGCGCACACATGTGCGCCAGCTGCGGTCCCGGTGTCCGGGCGCGGGGGGTCTTCTGCTAAGAGCTGCCCTTTCTGGACAGACCTCTCGTCCGACCCCTCACCGTCTGTGCGGCCACGTCTCGAACAAACCAAAGGCTTTGAGCCTTACTGGAGGCTGCCTTCCCCGCCCCCATGGGCATAACACTTTGGCATCCTGCGTTCGCATCTCAGAATCCCGGGGTCCCTGCACCCTCCGATCAGCAGAACATTCTTCCCTTTCCTGTCCTGTTCCGGGGGAGGGCGAGGGTGAGTAGGGCGCACAGAACAGACCAATTTCGACCTATTTCTTCCCCATCCTGGACTAACACACCTAGCGTTCTCTCTCTCCCGTCTCCTTCCCTCTCCCCTCTCCCGTCTCCTTCCCTCTCTCCCTCCTCTCTTCCTCTCTCTTTACCGTGGGAAGATAGTTGGCCAGTTCCCACTCCCCTGCCGGGACACGTGGATACCCTCTCCCTTTTCCATCTTGTAGGGACAGCCATCTCTCTCTCCCTTCCACTAGACTGATGGGCAAACACCCTGCTTTCTCCCAAATGGCTCTCACCTAAGAAGGCCCTAAGTTGTCCGCAGCAGGGTGAGGAAGACAGGAAGTCTGGTCCTACCTTGGCTGAGAGCTGGGTAAACAGGGACCCAGCCTGGGGCCTGCAGAGCCCTGGTTCTGGGGGCCCCTCCTTCCCCCAGTGTCCTTCTCCCCTGGGAGAGGCTGTGTGGGTGAGAATGACCCTGTGTCAGGAAGCCCTCCTCCTGCCCCCAGAGACGCCGTGTCTCGGGGTGCGCTCTGCATGCTGTCCTGGTGCTCCCTAGTTCCTGGAGAGTCCTGGTGCTTGGGGAGGGTGAAGGAACCCCCATATGTGCCAGACAATGAACATACATGGAAAGCCTTCTAAGAGGTCCCATGGTTGTGGAGGGAGCTGGGGTCTGCAGTTTCACTGCCTGAGTTTGACTTCTTCCACCACCTACTCTGATCTAGAAAATTGCTGAAACCCCCTTGAGCCTCATCCGTGTTCTCTGAAAATGGGGATAATAATACTGGCCTCCTTGTGTGTCAGGTGCTTAGCACCGACCTGGGACATAGGGGGTGCTCCGTCCATGCGAACCGTCTGTCGTTGTTACACTGTTAAAATAAGACCGAATCCCTCCTTGTCAGGGGCCTTGGGCAAGTCCCCGCCCCGCTCTGGGCCCCACTCTTCCCAGTGTGAAGTGTCCAATTCTCATGTTCAAAGCCTGCCAGGTCCTGGGGCCTAGTCCCTGGCCATCCTGCCCCCTGGGTTCGCCTAGGGGCTGCCTGGGGAGGTGAAGACTGTGGCCTGGCTCCAGACAGGGGCAGCGGCAGGAGGGCTTCCATCACCCATCACAGGGCTGCCTGTGGCTATTGACAATCCACCTTCCCCGGGCTCAGACCCTCACTCTAGAAACCCACTGGTCCCCACCCCTCCCCCCTTCCCCCTCAGGCAGACATTTTTCTAAGTAGGAACTGGCCTCAGCTGACACTGTCAGCCTCCTCCCCTCCGACCCTCCCCAGGAGGCATCTATTCCCTTTATCCGGAGTCTCACAGGAGCCCCAGTCCAGTGACCAGTGCAGGACTGTCTCCCGGAAGCTAGCGATTTCTCCCACTCTGGCCTCCACACCTCAGCTCCGGGGGGATGCGTATCACCGAGTCACCCTCCTGCCTGGCGCCCTAGAACTCCAGGTGGGGCGTTGCTGTCCCTCACGGAGCCTGTTTCCTCTCTGCGAATGGAGGCTGCTCTACTAGCTCCGTGTTACAAATCCGAGGGATTCAAGGCCCCATCTAGGAGGGGAGAGGCATTGAGTTTCACCGGCTCCGTGTTACAAATCCGAGGGATTCA